GTGTGTGTGTGTGTGTGTGTGTGTGTGTGTGTGTGTGTGTGATTTTGCCCCATTAAAAGTGCAGACAATGACATTTACACAGTTAGCCCTGTGGGTTTTTTGGGGTTGGGGTGGGGTTTGTTGCAAAGCGGATCATGTCATGTTTCTAAATTCATAATAGATCTCTGTAAAATCAGCCGAGATGACACAACTGTGATGCCTTTGTGGCAATCTGGATCTCACCATCAATGTTTCACATTCTGGTTTGATGAATATGGGTTTGCTGGGAGCACAATGTGCTTTTGTGTGGCTAAATAATGATAAATCGCTGCCAGTGACATGGATAAAAATAGGCCCGGTGTTGAAGTGCGTGCCTTGTTGTGGTGATTAGAAGAGTTTGGCCTGTAGACGTTGGCGATCACCTGCTCCCCATGTCCTGCTTTTGCCGAGGTTGCTAAGTAACTTGCGAGCTTATCTTTAGAAATCTGGACATCTCCCTGTGATTATATGGTTATGTAACTCCATCTAATATGCAGTGGAAATCAGTACAACACCCCCATATTTCTAAACACGTCAGAAAGTGTGTGTTTGTGTGTTAGGTACAGTCTGTTAAAAAAAAATTCTCGCTAGAGAAAGACACTAAAAACTTTTATGTTGCATCTTCTTTTATTTATTTTAATTTCAATATTAAAATTCTTTCAATAAGTGATTCATGCTTGACATAAAATGACCACAATGTGGCAAATTTCTATTTTTACCTTTTATGTCTTCTGCCTGCAGGTGCCTGGCTGCTAAATAAACATCAGATTTTTTCATTGAAAGTTTTTATTTTTTAATTTTTTTTTCCAAATACCAAAGTCTGGGGAAAAATGTTTAATTCCTTATTGTGTGATGACATTCTTCCCCAGTATGAATTTGTTTCCAGTTTATATCTTTTAAAGTGGAAGTGTGCATAAAGGCTACGAACAATTATTATCCTACCTGCTGTAGATAGGGCTTAAATCAACCTCAATTTGAAGAAATGACATTTAATTCAGAAAGAATGGATGATCTAAAGGCCAGTTTGAGTTCAGTAAAGACTGAACTTAGATGATGAGCTCAAGTTTAGTGCAGGCATGGCTAAAACTGAAGTCATTTGATGAATTGAAAGCTAGTACTAAACAACTTCAATTTCAAAATTTCAATAGCAGTTATTTGAAAACATAAACCTTTATGGTGTTGTCCATTTCAATTCATTTCAATTCAAAAATACTTTATTGATCCCAGAGGGAAATTATGTAATAACTTAATATTCTGGCAGAATTAATATTTTCTTGCAGGACCTTCTGCAGGCTGCACAGGAAGTGCTACAGCTAGCCACTTCTATTTGTGTTTGCAAATTTTCTAGGAATTCTACATAAACAATTGTGTGATGCTGCTGGTAATGTGAAAGACCCTGTTCAGACTGGCCCATAGACTGTTGGCACCAAATTGCTAACAGAATTCGCAAAGGAATTTAAAAAAATGGTTTAAAATATTAACAATGGTTCTCATTTTTTTATGTGAATTGCGGGACTCTGTTTTTTGATAGGTTGTCCACTTGTGAAAATAAATTAGAGACGACTATAAGAACGAGCCATTATGAGCATAACATGAAGCCCCCAAGGAGACCTGCAGCCTTGGCATCAGCTGCCTCATCAGTCTGAGCAGCATTCATGAAACATTGGTGCAACATAAATTAATGTGTTAACAGCCTCAGTTCATTGGGTTTCTAGGTTTTTGCTTGTCAGTTCGGTCAGAAATAAATGTATTCCTCCAAAGTGAAGTCAATCAAAGAGCTTTCTATAGCAGGTAAGATAATCACTGTTCATACCATCTCCTCAAAACCCCATTAAAAAATTGTAATAATTATTAATTATAATTAAAACATTTTTTCTTTCTTTTAGGTGTTTTAAAACTCTTGTTTGTTCTCTCGTTATCTCTGATCTTTGTGGTATTTGCACCATGAATCCATCACCTCACGGATACGTCTTATTTTACACTTACACTTCTATAACACATCAACTTTGATCTGGATGATGGGTAAAAGCACCAGAGTGGCCCCTTTGGTCTGGCGCCCTCTGCTGTGCCCTCCCGGTGGGGCTCTRTTACTGCCTTCAACAAGGGGCTGATGTAACATGGTGGGATTCAGGATAATGAAATGTAATGCATACAGTGTTGTTTTAAGAGGGTAAAAAGATGTATACAACCTATCATTTTAAATGGGCAAAATCACTTTGCAGTCATGAATCAGACATTAGCCCAGGTGTRTAAAAAGACATTAAGCCAATGTCTTCTCTGTGGTTATTTATTTGTTTGGTCTGATTTTTGCCTTTTTGGTTTTCGAAACAGCACTCTGATCAGATCTGACTCAGAACTTAAGAAGTACACTGTGACGTTTCAATGAGAAGGTCCTGTCTGAAACTAAAGACCTGCACTAACCAAATCCCATTTTTAATGTTTATTTTATTATAAGTGGTCCAACAGCAGAACACTGTGCATCAGGTAGCAGGCATTAGATTTTCCTTGGTACATACTAAACAAGTTTCTTGTCCAGAGATCTTGAGTCTGGTACTGGACTCAAAACAGTGTTGCACCCCTGAGTCAGTCCAGGTTGCATCAAAGGGTTTTTAACACTTTCTAAAGTTTGATTGATTCAATTCTCATAAAAGATTTGGACAGAGTATCACAAAAGTATTCGCCTCGCTGCAGAGGGGGCGGGAACAAATCATTACTCAATAGTAAAAAAGTGACGACAAATGGAGAAGATGCTAAAGTCAGAGTAGACTAAAACTGAAAGCTTTATGCCTCAAACACAATGGCAGGTCTGACACAAATCTAAACCCTTGATTTCACTGAGCTGCCACTGTTGGTGAGAGTTTCAGATGCAAAATTGTGAAAATATACAAAAATGTTCACTTGGAATCACACGGAGTTGGCACTTAGGGTGTGTTTCTTTATGTATATAACTGCAAATGTGAAAAAGGCAAAAGGTATCCCCATTATGCCCTAATTTGATCCCCATTTAATTATTATTTTGGCCCCAATCAGCCACTGTTTAATTGCATAAGTTGCCAAATTCTCCCTATTTCTTACACTTTTGGACTCCTGAAAACAAAATTGAGACGGGTTACAAACCAAATTGATCTGAAAGTGTATTTCTCTCTCTCTCTCTCTCTCTCTCTCTCTCTCTCTCTCTCTCTCTCTCTCTCTCTCTCTCTCTCTCT